AGTACAGTCGCTCGACTCTACTAACCCTGATTCATACGGTCTCTTCATGTGCCGCAACGCCGCGAAGACGCGCCTGATCTCGGCTATGGACTTTGTCAACAGATTAAAGCCAGAGCACTTACAGGCCTTCTGGTACTTTGCTTCCAAAGTCAACTTTACTCTTATTGGTACCTTTGGATCGCTGCTGTGGGCTACGGCACCTGCCAAGGAGGAAGCTGAGTTTTATAAGCTCAGGCTGTGCGAATACCGCTGGACGCTTTCCGTTTCTTCGAAGCGAGCCGACTTCCTTGAGTATGCAGTGTCGATGCTAGACGCGAGTCGCGCCATGCTGAACAACTTGGCGGAGAAGCCTAGTCTTGCAGAGCAAATCAGCAACGCCGGTGTGCCGCCCGCGCCGCCTCCACGACAATACAGCTCTTTTTCCAATATGGGACCGCCACAGAATCCGAATGGAGCAGGAAGGTACGAGATGGAGGATGTTGATATGGGTGACGATAACGATCTGAGACGGATGTCCTCAGGCGAGAGCTTCGAGGGCTTCAATGACGGATCTCAGTATGGTGGTAGTCGGCCACATACAGCCGGCAATTCGCCTCGCTCAATGTGAGCGGTAGATTCGAAGGAATCGAAGCATAGCTTTGACGGCTTGTGGATTTGTCGTACATGTTTCAGGACAGCGTCTTCTGATGTTCAGCGATTAAGCGTTCTTTCTCATGGTGGGATGGTGGGCGTTATATAGGTACGCCTGGTGCTGCCATAACGGTGCTCTCAGGTTGCGCCAAAATGGCGCCATATTGCGACACAGGGATTGGGACACTTTATGGATTTGCTCTTTAGCGATTATTGGTTACGATTTGATGTTGGATGATAGTATAGACCACCTATTGGATACAGGGTATTGACGCGAATGACAAGTCATTTGGTATATCGCCGCCTCGAAGGCGGCGCAAGCAACTTCGGTCTTTCTTTTGCGCCAATCGGCACGTGCCGAGTGAAACGTGGGTGTACAAGCCCACATTGGTGTAACAAAAAATCCAATTCTTGACAATGAGATGTGACCGTCGGTGCAATATCTTAGATCGGATAGTGGTCGAGCCTGCCGCTGCCTGAATGTTGATTCGGGGTTCGAGTAACAGCTGACATGCCCTGGTCTTAGTGCCCTACGCCCATCAGCTCCGCCTGCAACACCTCGAGACTATCAAAGCCGCATCGATTCGGTCGGCAACCAACTACGCATGCGCCTGAGATTTATTTCCAGCACAGTCGTCCGGCTCGGAGAGATGAAGTCATTGCGAGTGGGTAATGGTGATCAGCGCGTAGTGTCCTTTCCGCGGATTAATGCGCGCCGCATCCCCATGTCCAGGTAGCGGGCCGACGCGAAGAACAGAAGCAACCCCTCCAGCCCCGACTCGACACCCTCACGCCAGGCCTGACACATTGAAGTAGTTCGCAGCCTGACCCGGGTGACAATGCAAAGCGTGCGGATGCGATGCGCTTCATGCCGCGATCAAACACGTCACTTGGCAGCGCCCCCTTCAGCCAGTCGCGATTTGACGATGAGGCGCTTTAGCGATTCAGGCGGCCAACTGGGCGTTGGAACACCGCTCATTCGCGATGTGAGATTCGCGAGGTTAAATCAAAAGAGCTGCGCTACTTCATTGCCTGGATGCAGCATCGTGGCTTATCTCCGGTGAGCTTCATCTGTTGGTACTTGTGCTTACCCCTGAGTGTCACATACAACGTCCTCGCGTTCGCCAAACTCCAGTCTTGGTACTAGATCGGCGTCTCAGCATATTTCTTTATACACAGTCATCATTCTTATAATCTGCGTCGCGCCCTACAGAGAGCGGTAGACTTCTCGCTCTCCGCAATGGCCAAACTAACTTTCCTCTCGGACGACAACAAAGCCTGGAGACGACGGCTTGTGATCTGCTGCGATGGTACGTGGCAGTCCAGCGTTAGCAGCAAAAACAACATACCCTCCAATGTCACAAGACTCTGCCGGCTGATCGCGCGCGTTGGCGCAGACAAAGACGATCCCTCGAAGAAATTCCATCAGATCGTCTATTACGACTCCGGCATAGGAACCGGAAATCTCAGTGCCTCTGAAGCGCGACGACAGGGTGGCACGGGAGCTGGCTTGGCAGAAAATGTCATCGAAGCATACAACTTTATCGTGCAAAATTACGAGCCGGGGGATGAGATCTTCTGCTTTGGGTTCTCGAGAGGTGCCTACACAGCACGTGCGGTTGCTGGATTGGTCTCGGATCTCGGTGTCATTGCACCAACCAGTATGCAGTTCTTCCCTGAACTGTACCGTCTCTACCAGACAAACGAGGAAGGCGTCGAGTTTAGAGAAACACAGGCGTGGAAGTGGTTCACCAAGGGCAAGCTCAGCAAAAAGGGAGAAGAGATGGAGAAGATTGGTATCGATATCAGAAACACTGACATGGATGATCTTCGGCTCATGACTGAAGTGTGGGAAATTCGACCGCACGGGGAGCTTGCAGTCAGCGAGGGTAGCAGAAAGGTGAAGGTAGTAGGTGTCTGGGATACTGTTGGCTCATTGGGCGTACCAGACCTAATCGGTCTAGACCTGGCACGGGCAAGGACGAAGTACGGATTCCACAATGTCAAGCTGACGGAGAGTGAGTTCTTATTCATTAAGGAACATGCATTCCTTGCTAACCGTTGAATAGATATCGAGCATGCATATCAGGCATTGGCTTTGGATGAGCGCCGCAGGGCTTTCCGCCCGACTCTCTGGTACATTCCCACAGATCTCGTTGACGATCCGAACCGACCTACTCCAGAGCTGAAACAGGTCTGGGTACGTGGAATCTTACTCCAGGAAGGAAGACCTTACTAATGATGTTTCTCTTAGTTTCCAGGTGTGCATACCAACTGCGGCGGCGGATCACAAGACGCTTTCGGCGACATGAAAGGAGATTCCGAAAGTAGGCAACATTGTGTTATACCTGCAAGACATGTATACTAACCTTTGCTTAGACATCTCTACAGCAACTCTATGCTGGATGCTCCAAGTCATCTCTCCCCATCTTACCATTGACCGACATGCTTTCTCTCTCTTTATGGCTCAGTACACGCGCTGGCTCTTCCGCCTCCGCTACGCATGTACCTACCACCATGATGGCTCTTTTGAGAAGTTCCTGGACAAATTGCCGAAACTACCCAGCTTCAGTCTCACGTGCGACGAACTCAAGCCTCCGCGGCGTGACCCTCCACACGAACACACCAACTTCGACTTTAGCTGGGGCACAGGCCCTCTCGTAGATTCGTATGGCGGCTTCTACCACTTCCTCGGAGCACGTGCGCGTAAACCAGGCCACGAAGAAGTCGAAATATACGACGCTAGGAGGAAAGTACAGAAATGGGTCAAACTCCGCGATATGGGCGATACAAACGAATATATCCACCCCATTGTCCACTATCGCAGTCTTATACGCGGATGGGACAAGCACTCACCCATGAAAAGGAAGTGGAACCGCGACAACTGGCGCAGTAAAAGAGATGATATGATGAGGTTCTGGTGGTACATGGATGGCGAACAGGACACGTGTGCGATACCCGAGTGGGCGATAATGCCCGACAAGGAGGGAGAAGAGTACAATTTCGAGAGGATGTGGTATCATCAATGCGAGGACACTGCAAGGTCGTTGTACGATGTCAATCGTGCAGAAGAGAATTTCTTGGAGGTGTTGGATGAGAAGGTTGATTTTGCTTTTGACGACAGGCCGCAGAACATTTGGCCCTGAGGGAATCATGGTAAAATGGCCACTAGCAGTTCGCGATGGAGAGACGATAAGGCGAGCAGTGGGACGATGTCGACTTGAAGAGGTGATGGTGAGAAAACTACAATACCCTTTGTATTTAGCGTAGCAGTTGAGATACCTGTTCTAGAGGGCGATATGATTGCTTCTGTGGAGTTCGGTGTCCTGTTAAGATCAATGTCATTGTCGGTGTAAGAGGTAATGAGGTTGAGTAGATTGTCAGCGAGTTGAGACACGATTGTGAGGGAGCTGGCCTCTTTTATATTCATCTTTGAGTTCTTCCAAGGATGACTTTCTATCCATATCGTCGACAAATACCTCCACTAAGGTGTTGTTTAGCTTGTGCCAATCTTTCGTCTCAAGTCAATCATACGCTTATATATATGCCTGTCGATTAGATAAAAAAAAGTAGACAACATAGTCAACAAACACCAAAGATGAAGTTTGTAGTAACTCCTTCGTTCTGAACAAGCTGCAACATAAACAAAAAATCGTCAACAGCACATCTTAATAGAAGAACTGATCTTAGCAAAAGAATTGGACGGGCGGGTGATCGAAACCCGGACCTTCCGCAGATTAGCACCGGAAAAATGCAAAGCGGACGCTCTACCACTGAGCCACACGCCCCAGAAGTCGCTGTCTAAGATAGATAGCTTAGTAAGATGGATTGAGGAAGATTTGGCCTGTATATGTTGTCCAAAAAAATCCGGCTTGGTGTGGCATGTGGCCCCCTAGCGTTGCTTGGAAAGTCGGAAGCAAGACCTGCCACAACAAAATAGATTGTAATAAAAAACCAGAACATACAATAAAGTACTACGAGGAAGACTGTCTCTTTAAGATATTTATCAGAGGCCTTATTATTGTGTGAGAAGGGCTTCCTACTATCAACCTATGTCTGACTTCCAATGCGACGCCAGAGCTGGCCCTGTCGGTCCGGGACGTGGACACCTTAGCCACACCCTTGGCGCATCGCGGACAAACCACGTCGTCAGCATTCCCGAACACACCTGTGCTTTGTCTTAGCAAACAACACGTCTTCACTATCGTTCCGTTTGGATTACCCTATCATCGTGCCAACGTAACCTCCATTTCATAACCATAATCGACGATTCGAATTGGCCGCGCGTCTAACCTTTATCTGGCGTCGACACCCCGTAACTGTGTCAGCTCGCAAACAAACACATCGCAATCGCAATAACAATTGCCACGATGAGTTCACTAAGCACATACTTCCTGGACGTCGTATACTCGTTCACAAATTGCATGGTCTGCTTCCCAAGCTCACCTCAACTCAAAATCAACAGTCGGAGTTTCAAGATATTACGGTTGCTGGGCGAGGTAAGCTGGGTGTCTCTCGATAACACGCAACCAATTGACTGATCGCGACACAGGGTGGTTTCTCATATGTATATCTCGTACAAGACAACTCGAATCAGCAACTCCTTGCGCTCAAGAAGATACGATGTCCCTTTGGACAAGAAAGCGTGAGCTTGGCGCTCAAAGAAGTCGAGGCCTACACACTATTCTCGCCGCACCCGAACATCATACACTCGATTGACTACTCTGTTGAGACCGACAAATCAGATTCGTCTGCGAAGACCGTGTACATCCTTCTCCCATACTACCGTCGTGGTAATCTACAAGATATGATCAACGCGAACCTGGTCAACCACACAAAGTTCCCTGAGCGGAGGCTCATGGTGTTATTCTTAGGTGTCTGCAAAGCGCTAAAGGCAATGCATCAGTACAAGATTAAGGGCGGACCTGGCGGCGCGCGAAGCGAGGGCAAGGCGAAGAAAGTCAGGAGAGATGCAAAGAGGGCAGATGCGGAAGCTGCAGAGAGCATGGAAATGCGCCCAAGCAGGAGAAACCGCGATCATGAGGAAGACGACGAACAAGAGGCAGAGGGACTGCTAGAAGAGTCGGAAGTTACAGCGGCGCATGAAGGCATTGCGCCTGGTGGAGAGAGGGCATATGCGCATAGGGACATCAAGCCTGGTATGCAATTCGCACATCTCATACGATGATGCATTGTGGGACTAACATGCGCAGGCAACATAATGATAGACGACGACGGCAAGACACCCATCCTAATGGATCTCGGCTCCCTCGCGCCATCACCAACACCCGTAACCTCACGCTCCCTTGCTCTACAAATCCAAGATACCGCCGCCGAACACTCGACCATGCCATACCGCGCCCCCGAACTCTTCGACGTTAAGACCGGCTCAGTCATCGACACCAAAGTCGACATTTGGTCGCTCGGTTGCACACTCTACGCATGCTTAGTCGGCAAGAGCCCCTTCGAGGCTAGATCAGATGAGACGGGTGGTAGTCTGAGCATATGTGTATTGGGTGGTGACTGGAGGTTTCCAGATGAGGGCATGCAGAGGGGCAAGCAAAAGGCTAATCCTGAGGACGCGATCACAGATAGTGTGAAAGAGGTGGTGAGGAAGTGTTTGAGGCTGGAGCCCAATGAGCGACCGGATGTTGACGAGCTGATTGACATTGTCGAGGATGTACTGAGGGAGCTCCCGGAGGATGGCTCGGACGACTAGGTGATGCGCACCCATTGATGAGTATGCTTGTATGAGTACATTTTTTTCTATCCAGCGTGAGTATGTCCAAAATTTGGACAAGCCGTCTTTCCACACGGTCGAGCGTCTCGTATCACTCCAATATACCCTTTCACATACTGACTTCGTCACTGTACTCATTATCTCTACCCTGCTAAGCGCTATCTCACCTATGACCCAGCGCCTCAATCACTATCGCTAGGCAAGTATCGCTTCGCGGTTTTTCAAAGTAAAGGCGGCTTATCACACCATATTGCTCTGTCTTGCCACGCGCCGCTCGCTTTTCCTCATATTGTAGCGTCCGTGCTCCCGCAAACGACGGCCTCCCTCACTGAACGGATGACTGCTCTGCTCTTCCACCTACCTCACGCCACATATTCGCTACAAGCACTTCCCCCATACTTTACCAGAACGCTTCTCCGATCCTACGAGAAGAAGCTCGACCAGGAACTACTTACGCGTCATGTCGACACCGAACCAGCACCATCGCAGGATGTGAGTGTGATTCCATTATTTTACCATGTTTGAGTATGACTAAGAAGCTATCAGCGCCCAGCGCAATGCAAAGGAGTCCGCGCTTTTACGCCCACCCGGAGAAGTACGAAACCTGATATGGTCCTACGCCGTACACGCTGGAGAACCGGTATTCGTTGACTATTTTGACTCACACGACCCCCAAAATTGGCCTATACAGGACATCAGTCAAGTTTGCAGACAAGTACACGCAGAAACTCGCTTGCTTGCTTACGTCGTCAATACCTTCGAGTCGATCGACATAGACGCTCTTACAGAATGGCTCATGATACGACTTCCCGAGCAGAGAGCCGCCATACAGCGAATCCAAGTTTGCGATAGACAGTTCTCATATGATTTCCTACAACTTCTTCCAGGCTTGAAGTCTATCGTGGTGAAATGCTTCTGCGATAAGGCTGTCGTCGACGATTGTGCACATGGCAAAGCTATCGTCAACAACTTGGAAGGCACCTCGGGTAATTCCGGTCTCAAGATCCAACACCTGCCGATGTTCTTGAAGAAGTGAACGCCTAGGTATCTTCCTACGTAAGCTGTGTTGTCGACATTAATGATATCACTTGCTAACCTCTTGTAGTACATGGCCGCTGATGTCTTGCCACTGATCGCAAACCGACTGTGGAAGACGAGAAAGGCTGCTACACTCATCCAATAACAGGAGTCTATTCCATATAGACTTCTGTGCTCTTAGTCTGCTTTGGCTGGTTGGGTTTCTCTGCGTTCTGGATGCTGCAGTTTTGGCGAACCTGATGCTTTGCATCCACAGCGCTTCCATATTCTCTCAATATTACAGTCTCAAATCCATTTACTTCCTTGCTCCTGACTTCGAACGCTCAGCTTCCTCGCAGGCCATACACTTGGACGGGAATCCTAGTTATGAACCTCTGTGTTGTTGGATATTCCCTCAAAAGTCGGTTTTATGATCTTGATAGACGCTCAACCCCCGCACTTCCCAAGCTCGCTTGGAATTGACCGCTATAGAAGTGGGACACCCAGGAGCGGCTTCGATCACATCTGAATTGAAGTACTTCAAGCTTCGGTTAATCTCGTATTGATGTGAGACCAAGATGGATACATGATATCACCACGCCATTCTCGCAACCCACATGCAGAATTGTCGAATTCTAGCCTACTACGGAAGGTGTATGTCAAAGCGAAGATAATCGTCCTCGTACAGCAAGGCATAAACTTCAGCCACACTAGGCTAAGGACCCTTGAGCATCCTATTGGCAGGTGACAGTGCGGACTGCCTTCCGTAGCCGCTGCGTCCTGCGGCCCGCACCGAGCTACCATTGCCGCCTTGGCCTGTTCCGGCGATGATTCTCAAGGTTCGTACCATAGGGTAGGTACGGACTCGTCCGATCGTACCCAGGTAGGCGGGTACGACAACATGCATTTCACCAAGTGTCGGAAGGACAGGTCGAAGTTGTCCGGACATGGCACCGAAGTGCATTCTCGATATGATATGCAATGCATATGGTATGGTTGCATCTATCAAGCCCACATAATCACAAATAATGCTCAAGCGGCCTCGGCTATCTCATACTGAGCAGCCGGCTCAGTTCTCAGCATCCAATGAAGTATACCACGACACTGGTGCTAGCTGACTAGTTCGCACTGCATGCCGTTTGGAAAAGTGGCATGTGACGTGTAGGTGTATTGACTGCTCTGGTTAGATTCCAGAGTCAATAGTATCGTACGTAGGTATACACTCCTGAAGGTGGTTGTAGTATAAGTATCCTTCTCTTAGCCCCTAAAGTTCTCCTCGTCACAACAGACACTCCTCATTCAAGAACCTTCACTTCCTCACCTCAGTCTCCCAAATACCACAGATATGCACTTCAACTCTATCATTTCCCTGGGCGCAATACTCTCTGGAGCCGTCGTCTCCGCAGCAGATTGCGGGGGCTACGGTCTCTGCCCGACTCCCGCCTCATCCCGCAATCAACTGTACGCTGCTCGTCAAACCGTTTGCGGTGATGGACTGTACAAGAACTCTGGCTCGTACAATGCTCCGGGTGGAGGTAAACTTACTTGGCCTGGAGGCTATGACCAGCAAAGATGCTGGGATGCGTTCGAAAATATTCTGAACCAATGCCATCCCGAAGGCGTAGGTCTTGGTAACCACTTTGGGTCATATAACTGGTATGGCCAGCTATATACTGTGCATGGATGTAAGTCGTATTTCTGTCTTAAGTCCCGTACGACTAGCAAAGTTCTTGGCTAACACATGTTTTGCACTGAAGGCAGAAAATAGAGATGACATTATTCCTCTTGCCGTGATACAGGCACTTACCAATATCGTAATTAGCTAGGAGGTTTCGTCTTCGAAGGAGGTGGATCGGAGCTTATATGAACATGGTGACATAACAGCAAGATTCAGCAATATTTCGGTGGCCGGTTTATCTACGTTACTATATGCCGTTTGGCTGAAACTGAAGTCTACTACCTATTTGATGCATCAACTCTCACTATACTTGAAGCGTTTTGCCTATAATCTGTATACTCGAGGACCTTGCCGTGCACTTCTACCGGAAGACAGAGGAGAGGTGAAGTGGTATTGTTTTGTCTTGCACTGAACTATGTTAGTAAGTAATCTTACTAAGCTATCTATCTTAGACAGCGACTTCTGGGGCGTGTGGCTCAGTGGTAGAGCGTCTGTTTGTATTTTTCCAGTGCTAATCTGCGGAAGGTCCGGGTTTCGGTAAGTCGCCTATCATTTTTATGTAATGAGGCTTAGCTATTGAACAGGAGTGAAGGCAAACTAATCTAACCTGATGGGAATTGCACGAAGCCCAGACTGTGTCACTACTCTATGCAATATGTCTCGAATTCGTTAAGTAGAAACAGTTCACATGAAAGAATCTTCTTGGTTTTCGTGATAGCCAGATCCCTTGAATACAGATGAACAAGTGAAGGTGGTTGACACTTTGCAGAGTAAGTTCAGAAGGTCATCTTCCACCCATTCGAAGATAGTATCCGACCGCTGCATATGATAGTACGAACAGAACTCTGATAAATATGCATCTTATGTCCAAAATGGAAAGTATTAAAGAGTCTGTAATTTGAGCGTGACGGGAAGAATTCAGCTTTAGAATGACAGTAACAGTCGAGGGACATGTTTCTATGACCTTGTATAGCAGCAGCCAACTACCGCGGAACGTACAGCCGTTTTGGTGTGATACATCGTGGTTGCGAGACGCCTACATGGCTCTGAATCTGCTTTGTAAGAGCTTGTAGAGTATATCGAGGCAACTCTCGCTGTCGATTTCTAAGTCGTCTTCCGACTGCCGCAGCACTGGTACAAGCAACACTGCAGTTGTTCCGCACTTGATTTTCCAACGAGTCATTATACCCCACCTGACTTCTAGCCGCGTTACATAGCTCAACGAGTTCACATTTCGCTTGTCCCTGCTCTTTTCACGTCGCAGGGAAAAAACATGTAGAGTTCATGATTCATGGGGGAAAAGCAAGCAATGACGGCATGATTACAGCCAGAGATTGCGAGGGGAGCCGAAGGACTGCTGACCGTCGTCGGTGTATGTTGTTGCTGTATACATAGGAGAAGCGGTGACTTTGTGTTCTGTGTCTGTAGCAATGTAGGCGTCCAGGTTTTGACGGCAAATGAAGAAGCCATCTGAAACACGCCAGTGATCGGCGATACGGAGAAGCAAACATGGGCAGACATCTGATGTCCACGATTTTATCGTTTCAACAGCGAGTCAATAAACGAAGATGGAATATGATAACAAATCAGATCTCCACCGCGACGCCGTTAGCTGCATGACATTGTTCTCCGCGTTGATCTCCGCAGTCCAGCACCGTCCAGGTGGCTGATCCAGGTGGGGCTTGTCGCGGGACCCCTGCATAAACAACACCTTGCGATTGAAGACCGGGGGCTCTTGCGGGCCATATGGGAGCCTGTTGCCCTCAATGTTGTGGTTCCCCTTTCGCCTTCCCCACCGCCTTGCTACATAATCTTACGCGCGTCCGACAACATTTGTTTACACACAACATCTGTATCACCACAAACCATCACACCCCACTTGACCCGCCACAACATTCGCCTCAGTATCTATACGCGCAACAGCAATTAGCTAGATAGCTAGTATACACGGCGTCATGACGCTCCGCGACACGTACACCAGGTTCCTGGCGACGCCTTCCTCGGGCGCGCTGGCGGACAATGCCTCTCTTCACTATGTCACAACTACGACCAGCATCAACGACGCGACCGCCATCATCAAGCACTTGTCTGTTCAGGAGAAGCTGCTGAAAAAGACCAAAGAGAAGGTGCTGAATGTGATTGAGAGCAGCAATGGCTTGAGTGTCGACATGGAGACGACGATTGAGTTCACCAACGGCGGCGGCGCATACCTGCCAGGCCTTGACGACAACTTCGTCACAGACCGCACAGTGACATTCCCAATGGTATGTGACCGTTTCAAACATTTCTCCACACGTTCACTGACAGTGACAGGTCCACATGGTCCACTTTGACAGGTCAGGAAAGATCACACAGATCCGACAGTACTGGGACCAGGGCTCTCTTCTGAAGCAAGTCGACGTCATTGGCGCGCGCTCTCGCAACTGGCCTATCCGCGACAGCAGCGAGCAGATTCGCTTGATTGCATCGAATGCGGCAGCTGCACAGCCAGAGTCGAGCGCTTCGTCGCGCCCATCAACGTCAGCCTCTCGTGGCGTAGATGAGGTTTCCATTAGCGATCGTTCAAGGAGATCAACAAACAATGCCATGAACGACCCGCATGCATCGCTTGCCCTCTTTGCGCCCCGCGAGGTGGACGAAGAAGAGTCTCGCAGCTCTGGTCCGTCAGCACCGCGCGCGCAGTCTGCGAAGCCTCCTCCACGCGAGTACTCCGAGCTGTTCGCTGGTGCGGACACTGGATCTCCTTCACCATCACCCCAGAGGATCCCAGCCAAGGCTGGCAGCGGAAAGCACTACAAGCCGAACCGATTGTTCGAGGAGGGCGAAGAAGAGCACCCAGTCGCCCCTATGAGCATCAAGACCAGCTCCAAGAAGTACGACCACTTCACTTTCGGGGAAGGCGAGGAGACGCCAAAGGTACGAGACACTTCACGACCGTCCAAGCACGACCAGAACCGCAACAGGAACGATGCGCATTGGGACTTCGACGACTTCGCTACCCCGGACAAGTCGAAGCCCAAGACGCTACCCAGCGCGGTTCGACACTTTGGCTGGAGCGACGACGAGGTTGGTGCTTTCTATCAGCCAGAGACACAGGTTGCATCCAAGTCTCTGATATACTTTTGAAACATATACTGACGTCAATGTCACCTCAGGATACCTCCCCTGTCCGCCGACCCATCGTCCACAAGGCTCGCCCCGACCAAGACGCGCACTTCGACTTTGACGATAACGGCACTCCTGAAGCTCAACGCGGCCCTGCACCCACCAAGGGCGGACGCAGCAACAAAGGCCAGGGCCTCTACTCCGACAACGTCACAGATAACGCCGTCGACCCGGCCGATGCCCGCGCCCTTTCGGACATCACGAAGAACAAGAACCAGACCCGTAGTTCTATGAAGACACACTGGGGCGTTGACGCCGACTCACCCGATGGTCGTGGCATAAACATTGCTGGTAACGGCATGGGTGGACGCAAGGGCACTGAGTGGTCTCTCTTCGAGGAGAGCCCTGAACCGGCGAAGAAGGAGAATGGTGGTGGATTCAGCAGGAGCGCGAGGGGAACTGCCATCAAGACCGAGGGCGATGGTATGGGTGGACGCAAGGGCGCGGACAAGAGCTTCTGGGACTTTTAGGTTGCGTCTCAGCCTACGAACCCACGGCTTTCGTTTTTGGTACCTGCGGATGAGCGACTGCTGAGGTTTTGAAGATAAGTGTCGGCGCCAGAGTGGCATAGAAGATTACCATCGTGTCGTGGATGCCATCATGTACGCACCAGTCTCCTTTTGTCGATGTCTAGTTCATGTTCTTTCAACGTCTATGTGACGGAATATGGGTTCTAGTATGGGACTTGGTAGGATAGACATTGACATGGTGCACTAGATGTACTAGATGTCAGAGTGTGGTGATCATGTAACACCAAAGTTTGTTTACTGAGTTATGATACCTGTTCTTCTTGCTTGAATAGCATACTTTGTGGGATTTATTGATATACAACTGTTTCAAAGCCAATGTGTTCTATCACCCCGCCATCGCAACATGCTCATCCCTAGAAAAAACAATCTCAACTTCATCCCCCACCCTCCCACTATCCATATCTCCATCCCAAGGAAGAAACGTAATATCCGCTTTCAACCCCCACCTCCTCCCCAACTTCTTGCGTTCTTCATGTGTCGTCCTCGCTCGCATACCTTCCCATACAGCACGGAATGCCTCACCTTCTCCTTCTCGCTCGACCTCCTGTCCCTCCTCTGGGCTATCGAACCAGACCCCAGCGTCCACAATACGGCGCAAGTCGTCAGTCGGTTCCATGGACGCCCAGATATCCACAGGTGCGTACTTGACGCGCACCTCCTGGAGTGGTGTTGACGTCGATGTACCCTCGGTATGCGGAGAAGCGAGCATCAGAAGAGCGTGCACGCAGACTTGGACCCAGTACCTGATCTTGAGGGGTAGAGCGAAACCTGGCCGCGAGACACTGCGGCTTTGGTGTGAACCGCGGGATATAAACCTTAAAGGCAGTGTTATGCTGTCCAGGTTGAAGGTGGATGAAGCGAGGTACGTGAAGAGTGGTGTGACTTCCATCGAGACAAGGAGATCTAGTTTCGTGGCTATGTCCGCTGCGGAGGCTTCGCGGACGGGGTCGCGGGTTGGGTCGGCAAACGGGTAGTGGCCTGCGAAACCGAAGGGGTCGTTCGCGCTCGAGGACTGTGTCGTGGCTGTCTGGCGAAAGGACGGGTATAGTGACGAGTTTGAAGCGTCGTAGAAGTTGTCATCGTAAGATTTGCCTTCGTGGTCGTACTCGTCGTAGTGGCCGCTATAGTAGGCACCTCGTACGTAGTCGACATCAACCTCTACTTGATCGTGCTCCCAGTACCACACGTCCCTTCCTTCTTCTCTATCTGGTGGGTAATGTTGCAGGTTGGGTAGCGTTAGCCAATCCAACTCTATCTTCTTGAGCCATTTCAGCCATTGTCTGCCAGGTCCGTTAGGCTCTTCAATCTTCTCTAGTAGCGCTTTGAGAACAAAAGGTCCGCAGCTAAGGTAGACGGTATGGTTTTTGAAAAGAATTTCGAGCGCTTCGCGGGCGACTTGACGGTTGAGAAGGAAGTAATTATGGCGAGTCACAAGAAGTATGGCAGCAGCGCTAGGCTTGAAGTACTTTAAGTGACGGCGCTCAATTGCCCTATCTATGCTGAGCTCTTGCGCTGCGAATGTGTAGTCGTATATCTATATCGCAATCAGACTAGGCTCCAATAGGGTGGCGGAAATACAGACTTGGTCACGGAGCTCTCGCGGAAGTCTGAGAAAGGGAAAAACATGAGATGACACGGCATCTTCACGCTCAATCTGTTCAGTACCAACAGGAGGGTCAATACACCCGGATGTGGAAGTGGCGGCCATGGTACACACTCTTACTGTAATTGACGCGTCCTTTTCGTGTTGCGAACCAAGCTTTGCCCCGCAGCACCGCCATGACGATCTTCACGTGATGATCGCTTCCCCCCCCCCGAGCCCATCGGCCTATCCCTGTCGTGGCAAAGCCGCCGCGGAACTAGCAGCACTGGATCAGGCAGGCGCTTGACGCCTACCATGGATGAACGGGCCGATTCCTGTCTGTAATGACCGTCATCTTCGTAGCGTATCCACGTACTCGGGTCGCAAGCAAATCGCGATATCTGGCACCTACAGGTACCTTAGGTGCTATGCGGAACCTTCGCAATACATACCTATCATACTTACATCACAAGGCAATCATGATTGCTGTAGCTTTCTGCTGCTCAGACGCACTCCAACTGACGAGTTGACAAACATCGCGGAGTCTTCGGTTGGTGCCGAGGTGATATGCTTTCACTGGTAGTTACACCGCATCGAGGTAAGACTCCGTTCAACAACCATACTCTCTTGGTAATCATAACCGAGATGACCTTGTTTGTTACTGCAATTCAGAGGTAACCGTTGCAGCGCCGCTCGCTTCTGTCAATTACAGGTATATTGCCTTCAGGTACGGGTCTGCCGTTGCGCGGCTCGACTTCAGGGGCCTTGCATCCGAGATGTCACTAAGGCTCAGATCTTCGGGGAATGTTACTGCAATATCCGTATACTGATGCACTGCAGGGAACACGCACGCGGGAGCTCTACCGACTGGTCTTGTTTGCCGATAGACTTTCAGCGCGTAACGACCTACCTGGGGTAGTCTTGCATGTGTGTCACGGTCAGCGCCCCAACAGTTCCACCTATGAACGGATACCAGCTGCTGGCAAGTTGACGCGTCCGCGTACAGCATACGTCCTTCAGACCTGTATTTTGAACAGATTTGACATGCTGATAACGTGCTGCGCCTGTGCAACTGACATACATGCGCGTTCGATGATGTAAGTTGGTCTGTGGCTTAGATCGGATGACAAGAGAGACATACAGAATGATCGGGTTCGAAAATGTCATTCGAAGTACGGCGATCGTTTGTTCCTGCTCCGATCCATACTCGCAAAGATCTAGAGCCCGATTGCGCTAGCCTCGTGCATAGAGCGTTGCCATACATCCTGCAGGCACAGCAGCATAGTGAACCTTATCTCCTACAGCCTAGTAATGCTGTGACCGCAGCTAGCCTGCAAGATGTTCAGTGCAGAATGGACCCATGAGATCAGTTGAATAATCATGCTATTGAGCATGTGGGGTCCATGGGTGTGAACGTGATTGATGCGACAGTCGTTCCATCTTCCACTGCGGTCCGCTTGACCATGGCACTCTTATGGAACCCAGAGTCGACTCTTTGGTCATTGTTGCTCAACCGGAGTACTAGAGTACAAAACATGTACTGGCACCTGACACAAGACCGTTAGGTATGTAAACCTGGTCGTCGGGTCTGCGTGTGGTAGCACAATCAGGTCGAGTATAGTGCGAGGAGGCGGCACCGCCATGTGGTGTAGAGTACTAAGAGTAGCTTGGTCGGCTTGGACCGAACGAGTGATACTGATTCAAAAGTTGCGTAATAATGGGCATATGTCGGCAGCGGTTGCCGGCCATAGTCCAGATCCGATGGTTATGTTTGGTCAAGGCAGATGGAGTTAAGCAGGCTAGTCCTTTTGTGTATCCAGACGACCATGTAGGGATGGTCTTCTGTCTTACACGCTCGCATCCTGGTATGCGATAGGGAAGCCGTGGGCCTTGTTGGTTGTTGTTGTTGTTGTCATGACTCTAGCAGGCTGAGCCGATGTGCAGTTCAGAACTCTAAGATCGATACAGCATGCGATGTATGGTTTTAGAGAGCGGAGAACATCGTTGTACCCAGCTTGGTTGCTCAAAAACGGCTCAATGTCGATGCTCACATGGCGTCTCGTGACACTTTATAGATGGATGCGGCTCCCAAGGACTCAAGCATCAGGTGCATTGCATGTTCCGAGCAGCAATGTAAAGGTCACAACCCTCTGCCATGTCGACCACAGAACTACCGAGAACTGTGGATAGTGACAAGGGGTGGGCGTGTTACCGAAGATACAAAGTGGGCGCAGCACCTGTATCACCTCTTGCAACCGCAGAAGGATTATTGGTAGGCTTATCGGCAGGCAAAAGAGGCTGTGGGCTGCAGGAGTTCTGGCAGAAGTCGGGCTAGGAGGAATGGTTAAAACTTAATGGAGCGGGTTGATTTACATGCGGGAAGCAGGGTTCGGGAGCGCCGTGCCCTGCAACGACTTATTCAGTCCAGTGCGTGCATCGGAGCAAGACGAAAGGCAGCAGTGGCGGCGTCCCCGGAGAAGCGATTGTGTGTGAACATGTTCTTCAATCGTTCTCCAGAGCTGTACCGTGGTATGAGAAAGCGCTAGCCGGCCAAGTATGGCCATGTTTGTTTGGCATGGGCACGGGCTAGTGGCATTGGGCCGACTACTGCATGTCGGCAGCGAATGCAGGCTGCAGAAGGATGCGCGCTGCAGGCGGCCATGTGTGAGGATCGGCGCTGGAGGACAGCGTCGCAGAATTTGCTTTTTCTCGGCGCTTTGGCCGGTTGGGTAGCAGGCGTGGAGAGCTAGCGGACCTCGTGGCGGTACAGCGGGCGGCGGGATAGCAACACGGGTTTGGCTAAAGTGACGACAAACTACAAGGCCCTGCCATGCTCGCATCCCGTGTCTATTGCGCCCAGGATTCGGTATGTATATGCATGCATCTGCTCTGCACGCAAGTGCGGAACGACAGACTCTGCCATAGCCGATGAGACTGCCCTGCCCACTCGATGGCCGTGGGCAGAGCGGGATTGCTGTCATCGGCACCGCCATATGACAAGCGCACCAGTTCGCGCGCGGAGGCAGGGAGCCCATATTAAGTGCAGCTAGCCGCCGCTAGACGGGCTGCTTAAGATACACGAGGCCTCGATTGAACGATTTCCCACGTGCGGTCGGCTCACCTCTGGGCACCAACATACCCATTAATTGGCTGGCTCCCTTGCTGCCCTTGCAACTCGTCAAGACTCAACCGTCGTCTTTAGCTTTCTGTTGCGCCGCACCTCCTCCACTTTCAAAAGGTCCCTTCCGAACGTCGTACTTACGGCTAGACCGCCGGCTGCCCGCTGCTTTGTTGTGCACCTTGCTGCCATCCTTGTCCCAGGACATGTACTCGACCTGGTAGTCTGCTGACAGCGCTGCTCTTCTTCCCCACGCGCGCAGCACTGTGAGTGTCTTACGTTGGCCTCACTACTCGCCCTGTACGACATCTACCCACCGCGCACCACAGCCGTCCTAGCCAGGCCAATTCTCTTGCAGCGGCAGCCAGCACGCCTCGCTCGACGCCTGCGTCGTGCACTCGCCTCTTGGGGCGCCATCATCGTGTCAACTCCAGATCCCGCCCTCTGGACGCTGTGCCCACTGGTTCAGGGAAAAGGACCAATTTGTTGTCCCTGTCGCAACAACCGCCGACTGGAGGGAGCACTGCAGCCACGTCTCTTTGAGCATCGACTTTCGTGGTAGATTTGCACGGGGAGCACTGCTTGCTTTTGTCTCGACTCGTACCCTGAACGACTGCTAGTCGTCAGAACAAGTGAACTGGGCATCCTCCACAGCCGGCATATCTGGAAATCACAGCCATCGCCGTCGCCTCTCCCTCTCTCTCTCTCGCGGTAATTGGCGTGCATCGCTACCCTGCGCTTTCCATTCGAGTTGGACCGGTCTTGGCGTCCCTTCGTCGTGCCCCACTTCACCCAACTTGCCATCCTTACTTTAGGGAGGAGCGAACCATATCTCGCGCGGCCTCGCTCAGAATTACCTCTTCAACCACCCTGCAATCCACTTCCATTCCACGTCACAGCTTATCTAATCCCCGGAACCCCGTCCTCTATTACTTCTACTTCCCCATCTTTCCACCTGGCCCCATCTTCTCGACCGTGCAGAGTGGTCTGACCCAGTTATTTTGCTGAACAGTGTTCCTCACTGCCTTACTGGCTCCGCTTTCTTAGCGATTCGAGTTATTACCACCACGAGCTCAATCTTTGTTTCGCTACCACGAGAGCTGGGCACGCACTACTATCGTATAAAAGGTGCCTCGTGCTCCTCCCGTGCTCCTCCACAGCCATGGACTCTGTCTCTCAACGTCCACTTCCGCATAGCAATATGCCGCAAAGCAACGCCATCCAAGGCCAGCAGTCCCTGCCGCCTTTATCACAACTCACCAACCGTCTCCCCACGTCTGAACACAGCCCAGCACAGCCTAGGCAGCACACAGAAGCAGGTGAAGTTCGAGATTCGGGTCACTGGTCTATCGCCCCAAGCAAACGTGAGTATACACGATATCTGTCAACCACACGTTGTTGACACCCATTCTAGATTCATCCAACGTGTCTCAGCACATGGGCTTACAGTTGCAAACACTACTCAACCCTTCTGATGATTCAACATCACGCAATTCCGTACCAGAGACGCCGTCGTCGGTTCGGTATCCCTCTGGTTACTCTCAGCCATCCCAGGTACGTCACTTGGTTACTGCCCCCCGAGCTCATCTAATGTAAAGGCAGCATGGTGGTCTACCTTCGCTCTCCCAACCATACGACAACAGTCGACAAAGTATTGATGCCGGCTCCTCCCAATTCGACTCCCGACGCAGCAGTGTCGACAGTCGGGTGAATGTTGGCATGGGGCATCTTACGATTCACCACCCACAGTCACCGTACGACAGCCAGAACGCGTCTCGAGCTTCGCTTGTCCAGGACCTCCAGCAACAACGCGGAATCACAAATCCAGTTACGCGACCTAATGGCACTTCTCCTTTATCACCCCACCGAGCCGGTCCACGTGCTAGCAATCCCCCACGACGTGCTCCAGTCATCAATCCCAACCCTAGGAGCGTGTCTGGTATGCCTGATCCTATGGCAGCGGCCCCGACTAAGGGTTTTGCTTGGGCCTTTCCGGCAGACGACTTTG